TTTTTTAAAGATTTATTTATTTTCATTGGAAAGTCAGGTTTACGGAGAGAAGGAGAGACAGAGAAAAGATCTTCCATCTGCTGATTTAATCCCTTAAATGGCCACAACAGCTGGAACAAAGCCTGTCTGAAGCCAGGAGCCAAGAGTTTCTTCCAGGTCTCTCACATGGATGCAGGGTCCCACGGTTTGGGTCATCTTCCACTGCTTTCTCACGGCACAAGCAGGAAGCTGGATGGAAAGTGGAGCAGCCAGAACATGAACCAGTGCCCATGTGGGATCCCAGTGCTTGAAGGTGGAGGATTAGCCAGTTGACCTGTCACACCAGCCCCAACTCTTCCCAATAAAATTTAAAAATCTTAAAAAAAAAAATAGAAAGAGACAATGCTGTTTTCCTAGCCATCTTTGTCTTCTGGTTTGTTCTGTTATTTCCTTTAGTTCATTCTTTCTTTCTTTCTTTTTTTTTTTTCCTGTGAGGCTCGGACTTCTTTATGCAAATGGAAAATGCAGGGGAAAGAATCTGGCAGTTTTCCTTCCGGCTTTCTCCCTAAAGACATCATAGCAGCTATCTTTAAGGTTACCCACTTTTTATCTTAGTTGCCACTAGAAAAGCTAAAAGGTTGGAGTGAGCTGGGGTTTTGTGGCCTCTACTGTCTGCCTGCTGGGTGTTGAGCATTGAGGCCCGCCAAAGGCTTCCCATGCTGGGCCAAGGTTATCTTTCCTGGTATTAACATTTGCTATGGCAGCCAAGCCAGCCAGGAGAGTGGAATCACACATGAGAAGGAAGCGCAGGTGAGCGGCAGCATTTCCATGGGCTGAGGAGAAGAGCCCCAGGAAGGAGGGGTTCCAGAAAGGGACCCCAGATTGGTACAGCTCAGGACCTTCAGCATAGAAACAGGAACAGTTCATGTTGGAATTATTGGGGAGCCTTACTGGCTGCCCTAACTATCCACTCACTTGCTGAGTCTAATGTGGTCCAACTTATGAGACTCAGAAGTGAGTCCAGGAGTTAAGTAAACTTATTGAACAGAGCCAGCAGTCAATGAACCAGTGATTGTGCCTCTCTGGGGTTAGAAAAGGGTGTCTTTTACATCTTTCAGGATGTTCTGTTTGTCAGATTAGTTTATTGAGGCATAATGGAGGAAAGTTTAGTGTTAGCAATAATGACTAATATTTTGGAGCACTTACTGAATACCATGGGCTTATTGGTATAAAGGGCATAGCTGAAAATAATATAACTAGTTAGGGAAAGAACATGGACTGTGGATAATTATAATCTATGAATTTAGGGGTAAAGTGCTCTGTGAAGCAGGTTGGAAAAAGGGACCTTTTTTTGTTACAAAGACGATTCTATTCCTGTCTTCTCCAACCAAGGACTGCAATTCTAGCCCCTAAAATCTCCGTCTTTTTGAGCCGAAGTAGACCTCTGGCATCATCTACTTCTGGTCTGACCTCTCATTTTACAAATGAGATCCTCAGGGCCCAAAAGGTTGAGTGACTTTTTAGGTCACCAGCCAGGAGTTGTAGGCACTAAGACCTTGGTCTCAGGCTTCACAAACTGGAGCTTCTTCTAGTGCCAGGGCCCTGTCTCTGGCTGCTTCTGTGCCTCCATCTTGCAGTGGTATTCTCCCAGGCACCAGAGATCAGAGCATAGGAGGCTCAGCCCAGGCCTTTGCCACTGGTAGAAATACCAGTCAGTCATGTCTTAAGAGACCAAGGCAATACTGAAAGTCCCTTTAATGACTAGATGTTGGGGGCTTGGCAATAAATAGCGTGGGTTTGTTCTTGTACAGATCCCTTTGCAGTGCCTGAGTATACTTGTCAAAAGTGAGGGTGGGGAGGTATGGGAAGGACTGTCAGGCTAAGAAAGGAGTGACCCAGGTACGCAGGAAGCCTGGCCCATGGTGGCCACGGAGATCATGTGGCAGATGGGATACACTTCTTTTCCCTCCTGCACCACCCGGGCCTCCAGTTCTCCTGTTTGGGCTGTCATTTTCACTGGGTTTCATTTGCCTAGAGCAGAGAAGGGCACAGAAGAAAATAGTGTAGTGAAAGCTGGGTTTGTTATGTTCAGAACAGGTTTTAGAATGTTTGTATGTCATAGCAGGTCAGAGTTGAAAAGAATGAGCACCATAAAACCACTACAGCAAGATAGACTTAAAAGGACTGTGAAGCGGTTTGTTCTAAAATGGACTGCAAATTCCTGGTTTTGTACAGTTGATGCACTCTATACCCACACACTACCTTACTCATATTTACATCTCTAAACCTATTGGCTACACCACGTCCTGCTTTAGATATGGCAGCTCCATCATGTTTCATTTCCACCCCCCCCCCCCGGACTAATTATCATTGTCTCCAGGTTTCTGAAGTACAAATGAGCTTCTTAACATGAACTTCTCTCCTCCCTCGTTGAAATGAGAATTTTCGGCGATTGCAGTCCTGCACAGTGCTGGGCACAGAGTAGGTCACCAGGTATATAAGCTCAGTGGACATCAAAAGGGAGCGCCTCGGCCACGTGCCAGAGAACTGACCTGTGCCTCAGGACTGCAGGCTCAAGTCGGATAAGAGCTGCATACCTGGACCACAACCATTAAGATCACTCACAGGATTACCTACCCTAAATGGAGTTAAATATTAAAACCTCAGCATTTTTTCAAGGGTTGATGAAGTTAATTCTCTATTGCATTTGCTATTTAAAAACTGTGGTAGGAGGACATTGTCACATCACTCAAGGTCCCTTATGTAAAGTCCCACAGAGCGCTTTTAGGATTCCATACCAGAAAAGACCTGTTTTCCCCAAATGACTGTCGTGCTTCCAGAGGTGAGCGTGCGATCTGTGTCAGGACACTTTCTGTTTGTGGTTTCCTTCCACATCCTCACAGAAAGTATACATTCTATACTTCATCTAACCTTTTCTGCGCAATTGTGGTGCATGTTGATGTAAGAAGTTTACTAGTCCAGGGTTTTAAAACTGAAAAGATTTTGCTAGTTGCTATTTTGTCAGGGTATTTTTTTTTTTCAAATGGCAAAAATACTTGAAGTCGTTTTGAATTTTAGTAGAGGGAAACTGCCAGCGCTCTTAGAAGGCCCGTGATTTTAGCATCCGTAGAGGCTTGGGAATACACATTTCATTCTGTATCATCAGCAACTGCAGAGTGAAAGAGTCCAGAAATACTGGTGGGGAAATGCTGTTCTGTAATTTCCTTTAGAAATTGTAAGGCAGGTGATCCAGATTTGGTGGGCTGACTCCTTTGGGTTATTAGGGATCCAGACTTTTTAAAAAAGAGTTATTTATTTGTTTTTATTGGAAAGTCACTTACAGAGAGAAAGGGAAAAAAAAAAATCTTTCATCTGCTGGTTCACTCATTGTCACCAGGTGAGAATGTTGGCTCTCTGTTGCAAAATGTTCCTTTTTTTTTGAGAGAGAGAGAGAGAGACAGAGAGAGAGAGAAATAGAGAAAGAAAGTCTTATTGGAAATCTAGTGTTTATAACTTGCCAGTTAGTAAGGTCTATTTGTTCACCAATCCCAATTCCAGTTCACTGGGTCCAGCCCATTCTGTAGACTTCACTCTGCAGCCTTAGGCTCCTGGTCAGCTGTGGCAGATTTGCCCCAGAATACTTCATAAAGCTCACCAAAAAATAAAATTGAAAGATGAGGCTATTTTAGTTGCCAGAAGGTGCTGAAGTTCATGCATAGTTTATTCATAACATGTATTTTTCATGAACATTTTGCAGACCTCTTGTATGCGTTGGTTTCAACCTTGCTTTTCAGAAAAAAGACTTATTTTAATTTTATTTTCCACTAATTCTTTGAAGTGGCTTCAGATGTACAGTGGTTGTAAAAATCTGAAGTTGAGCAAGACCACCGTGGAGGTTAATTGGTTCTCTGGCTTTCGTTGTCTTGCTTGGGCAGTTTTGATGTGGTGGAATCAGAAGCTAACGGGCTTGAATCCCAGCTCTGCTCTTTGTAGCTGTGCTCCTTGAAGCAAACCTCTGGTATTACATGTGTGTCTCTTGTACTAGTCATCTGTTTGCTGGCTGACACCTCTATTTCCTCACCTATCCTCACTTCCAAGTGGTGGCTGAGAGTAGGGTCTCTTGAGCCAAGGATGGATCCTGGCTTTTCTGCTGGCCAACCATTTGTTCTTGAGTGAGATGCTTGAATGTTCTCAATTTCCTCGTCTGAAAAGTGGGCCATCAGTAATATCTTACCTCTAGGATATGTGAAGGATTAAAGAGGCAGGTGTGCAGCATGGAGGATTGGCCTTGGCACATAGGTAGCTGTGAACATCAGCCATTTCCCTGGGTTCCTGTGCTGCTTTGGGAGCCATCGCTCTTTCAGCAGCTTCCCCCAGTGAGGCTCAGCTCTGGCTTCCTGTCTCATGCTGAATGCCTTTCATTCTGGGTGCTCTGCACCTCCTTGTCTTGGGACCCTGGTCTGAGCCCAGTCCTGGCAAGCCAGGCCACCCCCACCTGCTGTCATCTGCTCTCTTCTGCTTCTCCTACCTTGGTTTTCAGCCCATCTGAACCCTTTTACTTTTCTCAGCTCATCTTTTTTTTTTTTTTTTTAATCTCATTGCTGGATGTTTGAGGGAAAAGAAATGACTCTACTGGCTGTGCTCCATTGATCCAAAGTTGATCTCAGTTATTTCTTTGGTCACACAGAAATGGTGCCCATCCTGCTAGGCATTTCTGAAGATTATGTTATGAACTAAAGGGTAAAAAACAGGGTGAATTTGCTTTAGCCACAATTAGGAACACAGTAGACAGCTTGCTGTGGAAACCAGAGAAAGGCTGTCAGGATTACTGGATTCCCAAAGGCATCCACCAGCATGTTTGTTAAAATGGCCAAACATCCTAGAATTTGCTACGTATGTTAATTAAGGAAATTGTCTTTCTCCCTAAGAATTTGAAATGTAGAGAAAGGTTGACTACTTATGTTTCAACTAAATGGCTTCTTTCTCATTCTTTTAAAAAACTCACCATGCAATCTTTTCAGCTTTTAGGTTAATTTGACTAAGATCTGACCTGACCAACTGAACTCCCACAACTGTTCAAGGAAAAAGGACCAAGTGACATATAGGTATGTATGACCAAGGCTAATTTTGTGTCTCCTTTCTGCCTCCTCTTCTATTAATAAGCAGTGGGCAGAAGGAGGAAGGGAAGGGAGTTTTAATTTTTAAGTCCTGGAAGCCTATTGTCAACCAAGAATGAGACCAGTGAAACGACCTACTATTGTATTACTATGCATCAAGTCCATATTCATCAGAGAAACTTTCATTTCATCAGAGAAACTTTGGAGTTTCTGATGGATTTTGGTTTTGATCCTTCACTTTACTAGACTTACTCTCTTAAGTATCTGCATCTTGGATATTTGTTTAACTTCCATCTTGCTTGCAAGGTGGCCAGGCTGTGACTGGGTGAGGGATTAGAGCTGCAAGTTAAACCCGAAGATCATCTTTTTGTGCAATGCTATTGACATTTTTGGGACATAGGTCCCTTTGACCTTTACCACCTCCGTAGAAAACTATTACACATGCACAGACTTTGGCATGTGATTTCAGAGGTTTTCTGGACTCTAGAATCCTGTAGGAGGCCCATAGACCCCAAGTTAAGAATCACATTTTAGAGGTTTCTAGGCAAACTTCCTAGGACTTTTCCCGAAAGTAAGGTGAAATGTCACTAAAAGTTACATTTGAAAAAATTCATCTTCTCGTTTAATGTTTCTGAGGCCTAACCTTCACTCAAAATTGCACCAGGTGAGTTTTTAAAGATTATTTTCTCTCCCTGATGGTGAAGGACCAGTTACAGTCTTGGATTCCCTTCCCTGCCTAGGTTGAGAACCTCTGCCAAGCTTGTTTACCGTATGTTTGGGGCCTGTATTTGCCAGAGCTACTATTGAGTTTAGAAAAAGGTTTCTGAGTCCTTTCTGGATGTGCTGTTTGTGTCAGGAGAGTTCAGTTGACTGTACCTGAACACGTTTTTGGGAGATTATTTTGCCCTACTCGTTCTGTCTCTAGCATTGGCAACCAAGTTCTCATGATGACTGTTTTCTGCCAAGGCTACTTGAAACCATCCCAAGGAAAGCTGTTGCCATAGTTACGATGGCTGTGAGAATTGCCATTTTCTCCTTTTTTTGTCAGCTTGTGGTTTTCCTGATTTTTAAGGTAGCAGCTGACATTCTGTTTTTCTGCAAAACAGCAAGGGAAACACTGGATTCTTGTTGCCATTGCTTTACTATTGTTGTTCATATTTGGCTTTATGTGTTGGATGGGGGGGCATGTGTATATTCTGCATACAAGGTAAAGCTACTTCACAAGATGAAAGATTAGAAGAGTCAGAAAAAGTCATCATTATCTAAACATTTTCTGTTCCCCAATTTTAAATTTTGACCTACTTTGGCCTAATTTTGGACTTGTCACTAAGTTATATACCTTCTATGGAAATAAAAATAAATAAGTGGCAAAACTGCCTTTCATATTGCCTGCTACCCAGGAGCCAGGATACTTCAGCCTGGGCTGAATCTAAACTGGACTGGGGCAGCTGTGCTTCTGTGGAACAGGTGGAGAATGCTGTATCTCAACTTACTATGAAAAGAGAGGTGGGGCCAGCTGTACCTGGTGGCTTAGCAACCCCATCTCATATTCTCATCTGGGACTATAAACACAACGCTTAACACACACCTGGTACACCAGGTGCAGGTTAAGCCTACAGAGAGATTCAAGGTAGCTTGTTACCAGAAACGGTAGTACCACCCCAGTGCTGCTCCTATCTCTGACCAGTCTTATTATTCCTACTTTCTGAATGTCACCATCTTCATGGTTTTGCAGCTTGCTTATTTTGATCATGTTAATGAAATTTACAAAAAGAAAAGAAACCTTACAAATTGTATTAATGCTCAGGACCATATGTTTGGGAGTTGAGTTGTTGCCAGTCCGTTGATAGTGCTAAGGTGTGGACAGCGTCTGCCTGGGTAGACCCTGTGGACACACCTGGACCATGACATGCCTTTCTGCCTCTTATCACACATGCCTCTGTAATGCTGTGTGCTTGTAAATCCATTGTGTGCTTGTAAACCCACCTGTGCCTCTGCTCCCCAGAGCAAGATGAACGCCATGCTGGAGACGCCGGAGCTCCCGGCTGTGTTTGATGGGGTGAAGCTGGCTGCGGTAGCTGCTGTTCTGTACGTGATTGTCCGCTGTTTGAATCTGAAGAGCCCCACAGCTCCACCTGACCTCTACTTTCAGGACTCAGGGCTGTCACGCTTTCTGCTGAAGTCCTGTCCTCTTTTGACCAAAGAGTGAGTAAACCTCATGCCCTTATTTACCCACCTGCTGATCTGCTGCTTGGCTTTATGGGATGTTCTTGGAAGGATCTTCTTATACCATGCCTTTTAGGCATCGATGGAAAGTAGTGTCATTGGTGTTGAAACAGCCACAGTCTTGATAGCAATCTAGTATTTGAATCCAGGAGGGTAGGAGAATCAGATTTTTGTTGCCTGGAAACATCCCTTCCTCCACAGGGTGGTGTCATCATCCATGACAAGGACTTTGCAGCAAGCAGCAGTCATTTCAAGGTAGATAGAGAAAACTGGGACAATATTCTGGCCCTTTAGCAAATGCCCTGTTGCCAGTTCTAACATAGAATCATCCTTACTCAAAATAATCAATAAGCCAGAAAGCCCAGACCTGTAATTGGGTTGTCTTCATCTACTGTATTGAAAATGTACCAAGAATGAACTAGTAGAACTTTTTTTTTTTTTTTTTTTTGGTAGAAAGAACTTAAAAAGAGAACTTTCCTTCCAAGAAAACCAAGTTTCCCTGTAGAAGCCCAGGTTTGGGTTTTGGAGGTGACAGGGGCAGGCTCTGCTTCTGGTATAGGAAACCACAGTTTAAAACTAAGAGGATCTGCCCAGTCTGTTTCCAATCAATGAGGTGTTAAGTGTGTCCTTGCCAATGCCTTCTCATTCACTGTGTCTTTACGGGACTTGTGTTAAACCTTACGTCCAGAGCATTCTATACCCCATCCCCCGCCCCTCCCTTTCTGGCATTGCTGCCTCACATTGGGTTACTGTGTTCTGCATGCAGTCGCACAGGATTGCAGCTGCTTGTAGAGCAGCACACAACTAGCTGACTTCCTAGGAACCCTGCCAGAGAGAGCAGCAGAAGCACCTTGTTTTAACCTGGCAACTACCTCTCACCTGCTGGGTGTTCATGCACAGACGCTACGATAGTGGTGTTGTGACCCTGAGTAAGGAGACTGGTGGAGTGCTGTGAATAACACACAGTCGTAATAGGGGATTTGGAACTGCCCCTGCTGAGGGGGCTTCACATCCCAGAAGGCTCTACAATCAGGATGTGCTGTTCCTAATACACTAAAGTGTGCATTGTCCAGCGTTTTTAATATTTGAATTTCCGTTGTTTGCTTTGCATGGTAATTTGGACTGGCTAGTGCCGTTGGTGTCCCCTTTCAGTCTGAGTGGGACAACTAGTCCCACTTCCTGCGACATCTCATTGTAGAGAATTTCTTGAAAACCAAAGAATTTAAAACCCTGCAAGTGTTTGCGCAGATGAGTGCAAATTTGCACCCGATATTGATTCCTGACTAATTAGAGGGAGGCAACCACAGAAAAGCCGTTACTGTCCCAGCTCCAGAAAAATTCATGTAAGGTATTTTCCGTCTTAATTGTTCAAACTATTTTAAAAAGCTAATGATGGAAGTTTTTACCTCTTCTTACCTTTTCTTAAAAACAGCCCAGACACACCAATTTCTCATTTCTCCTTCCCTCCCCACCCCACCACGGCACACTTTCTCAATGAACCTAAGGTGCCAACCTGCTACCGCATGCCCTCTGTTGAAGAGGTCCACGTGCTCCTCTTGGTAGGAAAGCGCATTCCTGGTGTCATCTCATTAGATTTGGTAGAAATGTTGCGCCAACCTGAGCAGGCAGCATCAGTAGGGAGCCCTGTGGCCATCTGACAGTTGCCATGCTCTCTCCTGGCAAAGCCTGAATTAGCAAGGTGGGGGAGATGGGAGTGAAGGATCACCTAGGTTAAAAGCAAAACTGATGTTTGCTTCAGAATTAGCTCAGGTTTGAAGGTGAGGTTCTCCAGCAACTGTTTGCTTCCAAGACCTGTTTCTGTGATTTCAGGACGAGCAGCTAAAATTCCAAGCACCCTAACATTCTTGACTTCAACATAACACATCAGGGCAGAAAGGTTCATTTGTTTTACCTCCGTCTTTTCATTTGCCTCTTATTTCTGATTCAGATCCTAATTCTTTAGGAATAAGTATATTCTGCATTCATGGGGCCCATCACCAAAATATTTTCACATTATTCTCTGTTTAGTAAAATTGCTGAGTACCTCTCACGGGCATGATGCCATTTAATCCTCTTGATAACCAGGCTGTTCGATTTCACTCTTCCTCCCCACTTTAGGGATAAGGAAAGGGGGAGCATCAGGGTAGGAAAGCAAACACAAACTGTGGTGTGGTTCCAGAGGTGGCTGCCTCCTTCTCCCTGGGACCTACCTCAGGATCTCCTTCAGGATGGCTGCCTGCAGAGGAGTGAGCAGAGGCAGAAGAGCCCGGCCAGGCCAGGAGCCATCAGCCAGGTGTCCCCGCTCCCACCTGCAGGGACCTCACACTCCTGAATATGCCTGTTTCTATTTTGATCGCCCTGTTGCAAGCCACAGTCCCTTAATGTTCCTTCACTCCCTTGATGTCACATTTCTGGAATAACCTCCTGTGTTTGGAGTTGAAGGCAGGAAATGGGTCTGTTATGGCTAGGAGTGTTTCTCCTGGGACTCGGGATTTTTCCCTGGGCAGGAGAAGCGTGTGTTCTGTCTTCACCAGTGCTCTCCTGGGCAGCAAAGTCCAGTCAGCCTGTTTACAGCAAGCTGGGGGACCCTGACTGCAGGCGTCTGTTAACCTGACCTCAAGGAGGATAGGAACATGAACATACCCTCCTTGCTCTGCAGAAGCAGGAAGAAAAGGAGGGGGAAGTTGGACATGGAAGCATGTGAGGAGGATGGGATATTTCCTCCTCTCCTCCTCACTCGCGCCCCAGCAGTGTTAAAATCTGTCTGAAGGTAATTTCCCCAAGGATAAGTGAATCTTTTAATGTCTCAAGGAAAACTTTACTCCAATGGGATATGTCTCTTGTTCACTTAGCAACAGATCAATATTTACCTGGTGATTCATTTTTCTTCTTCTTTTTTTGGCTCTCGGAGTGTTTGCTTTTCATAAAACAAGCAGACCAAGCTCAGTTGCAACTTATGAGAAAGTCTTGGTGGTGATAGAAATCTCCTGGATTAAAAAAAAAAAACACAACTAATACCTTTTCACTGTTTAATAGAAAATAGAGTACACAAAACTCATTTGTTTTTTTATGAATTGTATACATTTTTGCATATTATATTAGGTGTGAAGGGTCAAGGGCTAGAGGAAAGTGGGTAAGACCATTGTTTTCACATTCTCTTCTTTCTTTCCTATGTCTGGGGGGAGGAGAGAGATAAGGGGAGAAGCTACACCCAGCCTTCCGACTGTCCTAGGGTCCCCGACATGGGGCATTCTCCGAGGGTCCTGCTCAAGTGGTTTTGACAGTTCAGTAGTTCTGCATTGCTGCCTACCTTTCTGCTCCAATCATGATGAAATCTCTCCAGACTCCACTGGCTGACGTAGTCCACCTAAGAGGCTCCTTTTCCCCGGATATTCACTGCCAACACTTGGCTAGGGTAGCTGATCAATTTCTTCTGTTCTCCGTCCTCTGTTATGGTCCCAAGTGTCCTCTGCAGGCTCCAGTTTACTGCTGTATCCTCCATGTGTTTCTGAATATACTGTCCATTGCTCCATCCAAGCCACCGAGGAGGCCCAGGTCTGACACGTGCACTCCATGGTCAGACCATGGAACCTGTGGTTCTGTTGGGGGAATTCCCAGAGAAACTTCATCTAAGGTGATCCCAGACCTGATTCTTGTGTGTATGCCAACACAGGGTCCAGCACAATCCGTCGCCCAAATCAGCCTATGCATACATTGTTAGTTGCAATTGTTAGATCAGTTGTCTCCAGCCTTGTCTTCTACACAAACAATGGGTATTGTAGTCCCACAAAACTCATTTGTAATTTACCTATTCAGAGGTAGCACTCTTACTATTTTGCTGGATTTTTCTTGTGTGTACACTTTACCTTCTCAGAGTTAGGATAATAAACAAGGGAACTTCAAAACGTTCATATAAGCATGGAATTAAAACATAAGTTTACGTGGATGTAAGAACAACTTGAAAGTCATGCATGGTTTTTCCATGAATTTTGTGAAGCTCTCTCGTGTGTTGTTTATTGACCTGCCTTGACACCAGTCCAGTGTGTCATCAACACTTAGAAATCCACATTACAACCTCTGTCTTAACATTCTTTCTAATTTCCTCCTGGCTGTCACTCAGGTGGATCACAGGGAGGTGGCTGTGGCCACTCCCGGAAAAGCCCAAGGGAGTGGTAGTTACGCAGCTGAACACATAGGCAAGAGATGCTGTGCAGCAGCAGCGATGTGATCTAAGCTTGCGTTGAGTCTGAGCTGGCGTACAAACCTAGGTCTACCTCTGAACAGCTGTGAGCCCGGACAGAGTGCTGGTCCCTCTGGTCCTTGATTTCCTTCTACTTCAGAGGCAGCAACCACATCTCCTGCGTTGTCCTTCAGTACCAAGATCCTCTGAGATTAGACCTTTGCGTCATCAGAGAGCAGCAGAGGAGGTGCCTGGGGAAGGACCCTCAGGGGAAAGGTTTTCCCTTGTGCCTTTCTGCTCCTGACTGTCTCATCCCCCACACGCTGGGACAGGCTAGCACTATCTCCCCAGGGCTTTAAAAAAATTTTAACTGCTGTTTTGAGCTGACATATTCACATAATAAAATGCACAGGAGCTTTTGCCTATGTGTTCAGCTGCGTAACTACCACTCTCATTGGGCTTTTATGGGAGTGTCCATAGCCACCTCCCTGTGATCCACCTATCTGTCATAATGCAACTCGAGTTGGCTTCCTCAAACAGGCTAGCACCCAAGGCATGTTGCCGTGTGACCCCAGCCTGCCTGTGCAGCGCTGTCACTTGCTTTGTCATTGCCCAGGAAGTGCCTCTTGCGCCAGCTACTCCAAATTCATTTCTCCCCACCAAAATACTCCTAACCCTGTAAGAGAAACTTCACAACAGTAGCATTGGCTCTGAGCTTTCCTAGACCTGCCCCACTCCTCCTCTGCTAGAATGAACCTTCTTTCCTTTTCCTAGTATGTGGTTCCTCAGCATGTAGCTG